GGTGATGGGATTAGTTTCTGGGTTGTCTTTAGCCAGTCATTCTGACTCAGGGTCCTTCCTGGTGGTGCACTCCTTGTTCAGCCAAGATGGATACCAGAGAGGAGGATTATGGGAGGTGGTCGGACAGGTAGTGTCTCCTTTTGACCTTTCCCGAACTTTTGTGGTTGGTGGAGGCTTATTAGTTCCCTCTTCCTTACCAGGACCTACTGTTGTAAAACAACTCATGCAAATGGTTACTATGGTGCCTGGCCAGGGTGGGCGGTTTCAATCAGCGTGCTTCCCCTAACATGACGCTGGGAATATTAGCCTCTTTCCTTCTTTCACTTTCTCATCATCTACTCTGGACCACCAGGTTCCAGGCCATTAAAGGACCCCAACACTATATGAAAGTGAAAGTGTTAGTTGCTCAGTCATGTCTGACTCTGTGGCCCCATGGACTGTAGCTGGCCAGGCTCCTGGGTCCATGAAATTCTCCAAGCAAGAATACTGAAGTGGGTAGCCATTTCCTTCTCCAGAGGATCTTCCCAGCCCAGGGATCGAACATGGGTCTCCTGCATTGCAGGCAGATTTATCATCTGAGCCACCAGGAAAGCCCATTAAATACTATAAACCTGTTTATGGTAGGGACTTGAGTGTCCATGGGAGAGGTGTGTATCCTGGAACTAGTTCCCCCTCAGATACTGAAGGATGAATGTGTCTGGTAGTAGAATATAGAGGAGCAGCAATTCTCAAAGTCTTTGGTCTGAGGACCTCTTTTTACATTCTTGATTTCTTGAGGACCCCGAAGAGCTTTTGTGTATGTAGGGTGTTTCTGTCTGTACTTAACTATCAGTTCAGTTCAGTTGCTCAGTTATGTCCAACTCATTGCAACCCCATGGACTGCAGCACGCCAGGCCTCCCTGTCCATCACCAACTCCCAGAGTTTACTCAAATTCATGTCCGTTGAGTCAGTAATGTCATCCAACCATCTCATCCTCTCTTGTCTCCTTCTTCTCCTACCTTCATTCTTTCCCAGCATCAGGGTCTTTTCCAGTGAGTCAGTTCTTTGCATCTGGTGGCCAAAGTGTAGGAGTTTCAGCATCAGTCCTTGCAACGAATGTTCAGGACTGATTTTCTTTAGGATGGACTGGTTGGATCCCCTTGTAGTCCAAGGGACTTTAGAGAGTCTTCTCCAGCACCACAGTTCAAAAGCATCAATTCTTCGGTGCTCAGGTTTCTTTATAGTCCAACTGTCACAATCCATACGTGACTACTGGAAAAACCACAGCTTTGACTAGATGGACCTTTGTTGGCAAAGTAACGTCTCTGCTTTTTAATATGCTGTCTAGGTTGGTCATAACTTTTCTTCCAAGGAGCAAGCGCCTTTTAATTTCATGGCTGCAGTCATCGTCTACAGTGATTTTGGAGCCCAAGAAAATAAAATCTGTCACTGTTTCCCCGTCTCTTTGCCATGGAGTGATGGGACCGGATGCCATGATCTTAGTTTTCTGAATGTTGAGCTTTAAGCCAACTTTTTCACTCTCCTCTTTCACTTTCATCAAGAGGCTCTTTAGTTCTTCTTCACTTTCTGCCATAAGGGTGGTGTCATCTGCATATCTGAGGTTATTGATATTTCTCCCGGCAATCTTGATTCCAGCTTGTGCTTCTTCCAGCCCAGCGTTTCTCATGATGTACTCTGCATATAAGTTAAATAAGCAGGGTGACAATATACAGCCTTGACGTACTCCTTTTCCTATTTGGAACCAGTCTGTTGTTCCATGTCCAGTTCTAACTGTTGCTTCCTGACCTGCATACAGGTTTCTCAAGAGGCAGGTCAGGTGGTCTGGTATTCCCATCTCTTGAAGAATTTTCCACAGTTTGTTGTGATCCACACAGTCAGAGGCTTTGGCATAGTCAATAAAGCAGAAATAGATGTTTCTCTCAAACTCACTTGCTTTTTCGATGTTGGCAATTTGATCTCTGGTTCCTCTATCTTTTCTAAAACCAGCTTGAACATCTGGAAGTTCACAGTTCACACACTGTTTTGAAGCCTGACTTGGAGAATTTTGAGCATTACTTTACTAATGTGTGAGATGAGTGCAGTTGTGCAATAGTTTGAGGATTCTTTGGCATTGCCTTTCTTTGGGATTGGAATGAAAACTGACCTTTTCCAATCCTGTGGCCACTGCTGGGTTTTCCAAATTTGCTGGCATATTGAGTGCAGCACTTTCATAGCATCATCTTTTAGGATTTGAAATAGCTCAGCTAGAATTCCATTACCTCCATTAGCTTTATTCCTAGCGATGCTTCCTAAGGCCCACTTGACTTTGCATTCCAGAATGTCTGGCTCTACCGTTGTGATCACATAATCGTGATTATCTGGATTGTGAAGATCTTTTTTGTATAGTTCTTCTGTATATTCTTGCCACCTCTTCTTAGTATCTTCTGCTTATGTTAGGTCCATACTGTTTCTGTCCTTTATTGTCAATTTCTGTCCTTTATTGCCCATCTTTGTGTGAAAAATTCTCTTGGTATCTCTGATTTTCCTGAAGAGATCTCTAGTCTTTACCATTCTATTGTTTTCCTCTGTTTCTTTGCTTTGATCACTGAGGCAGGCTTTCTTATCTTTTTCCTTGCTGTTCTTTGGAACTCTGCGTTCAGATGGGCATATCTTTCCTTTTCTCCTTTGCCTTTCACTGCTTTTCTTTTCATAGCTATTTGTAAGGCCTCCTTAGACAACCATTTTGCCCTTTTGCATTTCTTTTTCTTGGGGATGGTCTTGATCACTGTCTCCTGTACAGTGTCATGAACCTCTGTCCTTAGTTCTTCAGGCATTCTATCAGATCTGATCCCTTGAATCTATTTGTTACTTCCACTGTATAATCGTAAGGAATTTGATTTAGAAGTCAAAGCTGAGAAACCCTTAAAATGTTCATAAATTCATTTTAAAAGTAACAATACCAATTTCCCGTAACATTTTTAATGAAAAGTAACGTTTTTCTCATCCAGCAATAATTAATGTAAAAGAGTGACATTGTTTTACATTTTTACAGTTTTTAAAAAAATATTTGGCTTAATAGATGATAGCTAGGTTCTCATATCTACATCTGCATCCAATTTGTTACAGTGTATTTTTTGAAATAAATGAAGTAAATCCAGCCTTACTCAGTAGTTAAATGAAAGCGTAGTTTAATAGTTTTTCCAGGTAGTTGTCTGTATTCTTCTATTACACATCAAAACTTGACAAGTGTTAGTTCTTTGAAGGTTAGTTGCAGTGTGGAATTTGAAGTCATGTCAGTGAACTTTTTGTATTATGTTAAAACCGTCAGTTGTCTTGCACTTTAAATGGATCTTTTATCCATGCATGATTTTGTAACATGAACAGGTCATTTTGAAAAGAATGAATAGTGAGAAAATGAGGAATGCAGGTCTTCCAAAGGTAGACAAATTTTGCAGTAAAATTTCTTTTAAAAATCACACTTGGTAGTATTGCCACTGGTTATATCAGAAAAGTATTTGGTACTGGAAAGCTGTAAAGTTCCTTGTGGCAGATGATAGACTCCAAAATTGAAATTTTCTCATTAAAACTTTGTCACTGGTAACTGATGTCATTTGAAGAAAAGATCTACTGAAGTCCAAATTACCGTAGTCAGTTGTTCTTTTCAGTTGCAAATGGTGGTCATTCACTTGCAAAAGAAGTTGCTAGTTCAGCTTGTAACTGAAACAGTTGCACAGGTGCTTTACCTTGAGACAACCATAATACTTCAGTGTGCAGCAAAAGGCTTTCATGTGTATTTCCTCTTTATTTTTTAATATTTTATATATTTATTGGACATGCAGCATGTGGGAGCTTAGTTCCCCAACCAGGGATTGAAACCTTGCTCCCTCCATTGGGAGTTTAGAGTCTCAACCACTGGACCACCAGGGAAGTCCCTATTTCTTCTTTAAAAACAAAAAAAGAAAAAGACTTAAGGATCAGAATGTAATAAAATTGATCATTTTTCTCCTACTTGTTACCAAGTACATTTAAAGTGCCACTGCTAGATTATACTAAGGGGCCAGCAGGTTTACTCACTGAGTCTCTGCGCTGTTTGTACAAATGTCGATGCAGAGAAAAAAGGCTTAGTATTATTACAGGCTTAGTATTGAAAAAGTCTTAGTAGTATTGTAACTGTGGTTTTGACCTCATAGAGGCCTTGAAAGGGTCTCAGAATCTGCAGATCACGTTTTGAGAACCATACTATTAGGGTTTATGTTTAAAATTGCTATTGCTCTTGTATAATTTGCTGTGTAAATAGATTTCATCATAATTTACCCCTGGACTTTCCAATAGATTGGTTTTCCCCCTGATCTTTGAATATCATACAAATTTATAATATAAAAGACTGTTTTTATGTAAATTATGATTAGTTCAAGTGCTATTTAGATTATAATTTATTATCTTTTGAGATTGCCTTAATAGAAATAAATATGTAATACAAAGATTAAACCTAGGGGTAGTGGTTTACACACATGTTTTCAGTTTGAGGATTCAGTTCTTAAGTTTACATTGAAAAGAAAACAGCTTTTTATGGAAAGTTCCCATATAACCAGAGTAGACACTGAGATATAGTGAACTCTCACTTAAAATTCCATGTATCGATCCCCTCATGGACAGTTGTTTCATTTATGCTCCATTCACTTCCTTATTACCCTTCCCCCTCCAATTGTTTTGAGTCAAATTCCAGACATCGATCACATCATTTCATTCTTAAATAATAATAATTCAGAATGCATCCTTTAAAAATAAAGGTTATAACAAGATAAAAAAGCCACTATATCTTAGTTTCTCTTAAAAGTAATATACTAACAACTTATTAGCACTTAACAGAAATGTTCTTAACCTCTTTGACTTTCTTTGTTATTGGTGTGTGTTCCATTTAGAGGCACCTGGATTTTGTGATTATGCTACTAGACATGGCAGAAAAACCAAACATGGAGTAGGAGCTTTGAAATTATTTAAACATTTGGGTTTTTTCCAGGATGAAGAGACTCGGCACAGCCTTGAGTGCATCCAAGCCAATCAGATCTTTCCCAGGAAGCAGCTGATCCGGGAGGATGAGAATCTTCAGGTAATCCCAGGCCACTTTTGATTGTGAAACAAGTATTAAGCATCATAGTAACAATGTAGCTGAGCCAGTGGATTGAAGTAATGCACTGCATATAGGAATACGTATTAGAGAAATGTATTTTTTCCCTAAACCACACACATGATAGAAATGTATGCTGGAAAACATCTCTGTTAGAAAGACTTTCCCACTGAGGTGGTCATGTCTGTGTCATTTCTTCTTTAGTCTTAAATGTGAATAAGTAGGTGTTTTTAATCTTGTGGGTGTACACCCGTCCTCTTCAGGTCCCGTACCCATCTGTGTGCTGTCTGGAGCGACAGTGTGTGTAGTCCGTTCACCTGAGCTGTGTTTAAGGACTTTGCGTTACTGCTCAGAGCTCTGAAGGGTTTCTCCTCCCCTTGAAGGTTCCTTTCCTTGAACTGCATGGAGAGAGCACAGAGTATGTGGGCCGTGCTGAGGACGCCGTCATCGCCCTTTCCAATTACAGACTTCACATCAAGTTCAAGGAGTCTCTTGTTAACGTAAGTGCCGTCAGCTGTTCTTCCACTAAAGCAGGTGGAGAAAGGAAGGAAGAAACCTTCCGTTTCTCACATTGGAGTGTTATATAGAGTTTAGCATGAAAACGTTGTGTACTCTGCTTTTTTCTCAGTTTAAGTACTGGGGACACTACATTAGCAAGCAGCTCTTATGCTTGATTTAAAATGATACATGTAGTTGTCAGCTGAGGTGTCCATTGTTTAGTAGCACTGCATGATTTGCAGTTGGTAATGCTGTATCATTAAGATTTGTAATGGTGCAGAAACTGTGTAGGCTTTTATTCCTCAATTTTTAGCAGTTACTGACTGCATCAGTTGAAAGAATTTCCTAGACCTTAATGTCAAATGCTAACAGTTTTGTCAAGAAAGCACAGTGGTGATAGCAAACACCCTTTTCCAACAACACAGGGAGATGACTTTACTCGTGGACATCACCAGAGGGTCAATGCCAAAATTAGATTGATTTATATTCTTTGTAGCCAAAGATGAAGAAGCTCTGTACAGTCAACAAAAACAAGACTTGGAGCTGACTGTGGCTCAAGTCATAAGCTCCTTATTGCAAAATTCAGTCTAAAACTGAAAAAAGTAGGGAAAACCACTAGGCCATTCAGGTATGCATTAAGTCACTTCAATCATGTCCAACTCTGAGCGACCCTATGGTCTGTAGCCCACCAGGCTCCTCTGTCGAGGGGATTCTCCAGGCATGACTACTAGAGTGGGTTGCCATTTCCTTCTTCAGGGCATCTTCCCAACCCAGGGATTGAATCTGCATCTTTTACTTCTCCTGCATTGGCAGGCAGGTTCTTTACCACTAGCACCACCTCCTAAATCAAATCCCTTACGATTGTGCAGTCGAGGTGACGAATATCTATAGACAGAGGTTTATAACATTGTACAGGAGGCAGTGACCAAAACCACCCCAAAGAAAAAGAAATGTAAGGAGGCAAAGTGGTTGTCTGAAGAAGCTTTACGAATAGCTGAGGAAAGAAGAGAAGCAAAAAGCAAAGGAGAAAGGGAAAGATTTACCTAACTGAATGAAGAATTCCAGAGAATAGCAAGGAGACACGAGACCTTCTTAAATGCACAATACAAAGAAGTAGAGGAAAACAACAGAATGGGAAAGACTAGCGATCTCTTCAAGAAAATTGGAGATAACAAGGGAACATTTCATGCAAAGATGGGCAGGATAAAGGACAGAAATGGTAAGAACCTAACAGAAACAGAAGAGATTAAGATGATGTGGCAAGAATACACAAAAGAACTATACAAAAAAGTTCTTAATCACCCAGATAACCACAATGGTGTGATCACTCACCTAGAGCCAGACATCCTGGAATGTGAGGTCAAGTGGGCCTTAGGAAGCATCACTATGAACAAAGCTAGTGGAGGTGATGGAATTCCAGCTGAGTTGTTTAAAATCCTAAAAGATGATGCTGTGAAAGTGCTGTACTCAGTATGTCAGCAAATTTGGAAAACTCAGCAGTGGCCACAGGACTGGAAAAGCTCAATTTTCATTCCAGTCCCAAAAAAAGGGCAATGCCAAAGAATGTCCAAGCCACAGTACATTCATGCTCATTTTGTATGCTAGTAAGGTTATGCTCAAAGTCCTTCAGGCGAGGCTTCAGTACGTGAACTGATAACTTCCAGATATACAAGTTGGGTTTAGAAAAGGCAGAGGACCAGAGATCAAATTGTCAGCATTTGTTGAATCATAGAGAAAGCAGGGCTTCCCTGCTGGCTCAGACGGTGAAGAGTCCTGCAATGTGGGAGACCTGGGTTCAATCCCTGGATTGGGAAGATCGCCTGTAAGATGGCATGGCAACCCACTCCAGTATTCTTGCCTGGGGAATCCCCATGGACAGAGGAACCTGGTGGGCTACAGTCCGTGGAGTCACAAAGAGTTGGATATGCCTGGACAGCTAAGCACATAGAGAAAACAAGGGAATTCTAGAAAAACATCTGCTTCATTGAGTATGCTAAAGCCTTTGACTGTGTGGATCACAACAAACTGGAAAAGTCTTAGAGATGTGAATACCAGACTACCATAACCTGTCTCCTGAGAAACCTGTATATGGGTTAAGGAACAACAGTTAGAACCCTACATGGAACAGCTTAGAGGTTCAAAGTTGGGACAGGAGTATGGTAAGTCTGTATATTATCACCCTGTTCATTCAACTTGTATGCAGAGTAATCATGCGAAATGCCAAGGTGGGTGAATCACAAGCTGGAGTCAAGATTACAGAGTCTTAGAAATGCAGATGATTCTACTCTAATGGCAGAAAGCAAGCAAAGGGGAACTAAAGAGCCTCTTGATGAGGGTGGAAAAGCTGGTTTAAAACTCAACACTCAATAAGATCATGGCCTCAGGTCCCATCATTTCATGGCAAACAGAAGGGGAAAAAGTGGAAACAGTGACAGATTTTATTTTCATTCTAAAATCACTGGATGGTGACTGCAGCCGTGAATTTAAAAGACGCTTGTCCTTGGAAGGAAATGTATGACAAACCTAAATAGCGTACTAAAAAGTGGAAACATCACTTTTCCAACAAAGGTCTGTATAGTGAAAGCTATGGTTTTTCCAGTAGTCACGTATGGATGTGAGAATAGGACCATAAAGAAGGCTGAGCACTGAAGAGTTGATGCTTTCGAATTGTGCTGGAGAAGATTCTTGAGTCTCTTGGACTGCAAGGAGATCGAAACAGTCCATCCTAAGGGAAGTCAACCCTGAATAGCCATTGGAAGGACTGATGCTGAAGTACTTTCGCCATCTGATGGCAAAGAGCTGACTCGTTGAACAAAGATGCTGGGAAAGGTTGACAGCAGAAGGACGAGAGGGCGGTAGAGCGTGAGACGGTTGGACAGCGTCCCCTGCCCCGTGAACGCGAGTGTGAGCGGCCTCCGGAGGTGTGTAGGCAGGGCAGCCCGGCTTGCTGTGGGGGACACCAAGAGTTGCACCTAACCCAGGGACTGAACAGCAGCGCCAAACGACGAGATGTGCTTTGAGTTCAGTGCAGGCTTCTGTTACAGGATGAAGTGACTCTTAGGGCTTCTTAGTGCTATAAGTATAGGTGTTAAATAAAAGGTTTATTTGCGTAACGTACTGTATATTGCTGAAGAGAGGGAAAGCTCTCAACTTTTGAGTGCATTTACCCTTTTCAATTAAAAGGGTATTCTCAGTGAACTGGGTGTTTTAGCACTATTGCCATCCTTAGTATTTTTCAGTAAGCTTGTCTTTCAGCACAAAAATGCCAAAGTTCATGTATTTTAACCAAACGGATGCCGCCTTTTTTCCTCACTGAACAGGGTTGTGGCTCTTTGTGCTTTGGGTCTACCACAGAGAAGTGTCCTGTGACATCTTACAAAAGCTCAGGGCTGTCCCTTCATTCAGATAGTGGGTTTGGGAGCTCATTTTGGGATTCTTAGAAAGTTGTTTTACTCAGCCATCCAAAAGTTACCCAATTCCTTCATCATATTTTTTCCTTGTCAAGACTCAAATGGCCAACATTTTCTTTGTGGTTGGCATTTATAGTTTTAGTGTTTATTAGTACTCTGTGCAGTTAGGCATTTACGTCTAGGAATCACTGTGGCTTAAATTCTTCTTGCTTGTAGATTTGGGCTATGATCATAGCTCTTGTCTTAGTTTTCTGTCAGCTAAAAATACACACTGGATTCATCAAGGCAAGAGACATGTTGCACTTTCATATCATGTGCTACTGTTCAGAAGGGTCCGTTTGGAATTGAGTGGCCCTGATAAGAGGTGACAGGATGGAATCTCCTATAACCTCCCAGCAGCCAGATCCTACTAGCTACTGTGGAAATAATGACAGCAATATTTAGTAGAATTACCCAATTTAATTTTGTGTTTAAATGTCTAGAATTGGTGAAAATTAAATTACATGTGGAGATAATGTAGTTTCGTATCATTGCATTTTTTCATGCAGTCCTGTCTCTCAGCCAGAGACTATTTTTAGATCTATTGGGGTAAAGGATCTATTGGAGAGAACGCATGGGTTGGATCCTGTCATTCACCAACCTAAAAGCCTTCAGTTTTTCTTGATTACTTCTAAAGTGAAATTACCTAACGTGGTGTCACCCTAAGTGATGTGATCCTTGGTCCTTTACGGCTTTTCTGTTTCCCTCTCTTTCCCCTTCTCCCCTTCATATTAGTAAAGCCACCCTCCTTGGACTCTCAGACATACCTTATACCTCTGAGTTCTCTCTTCTCCTACCCAAGGAACTTTTCTTCATCTGTCAAAACCCGATTCAGGTGATGATATTCTTATGTGAAGCCTTTCTCAGTCCCAGGTCCCTCCCTGACAGTTTATTACCCTCTCTTCTGGCTTTTTCTGTGTCTTGAACACACTTTGACAACTTTTACCAGATATGTTGTAATTTTTTGTTTGTTCATCTTTGTATCTTTAGAATCCAATGTGTTTACTTGTGCCATTATATTCAGTAAATATTAAGTGAATTGAAGTTAATAATGGGTTTGAAATAGATATTAGTCCATTTAAAAATCTTCTCTGGGTTTAAAGCTCCTTTTAAATCATACTTCTGTGTAAATAAGCCTGCATCATCTTTTTCTCTAACAGAAGCTGTATGAGTAGATTGTTTACTGGAATTGTTGGTCCCCCAACTGTGATTGAGATACAGTGCTTAAGAAAATTTACCCTTGTTTTTAACTTGTGACCCATTTCTTCACCAAAAAGTGTTTTCCATTTAGCATGATAACCCTCTTAGGCACAGAGTCTGCCTGTCATTTTTTTTAAAAGCCCAAGATAATGGCTTTTCACTGAAAAATGGTTGTGCAAAAGTATTTTGTAGTTGCAGCGATTTTAAGTAATTCAGATTGGGAGAGACTAGGGCTTCTTTGTACAAATAAGTTAATCACATCACAGTGCTAGGCTCCTAAACCTGTGGTTACTCCAGGAAACAATGGCTCCTCCTATTCTGGTCCTCCCTCAGCAGATGAGTATTTCAGTAAAATCTGTCATATTAAGAGACCCCTCCCCTAAAAGTTACTATATCTAAATCAAACATATATCAGCCATCAAAACCCAGATGTGTCACTATGTATTGTGGCATGCTCCAGTTTGCATCATTTTGTATGTTTTCAAATGAACGCATTTAACTCTTAAATGACTTAAACCATCAAGCTTTAAATAGCTGTCTGATATCATATAGTCTCAATCTCACAGCACATTGAAATATATCGTTATTGTAATGCACATACGTTATATCAAATTTCCAGTTTCTAGGGTAAAGAACCTCTGTAGTATAGTTCAGTTGTAGCATTTAAGGTATGAATTGCTCCTATTCTGTGCTTTTCCCAAACTGTATTTTTACATATTTATATATATAGGTATATTTCTTTGCTCACCTAATTTACAAACAAGTAAGTGTTCAAGTGAAGATAATGAAATTTTGAAATGATTTTTGTTGTGTAATTCAATAGACCGCCTCTCAGTCTGCTGCTTCTGAAATCCCAGTAAGTAGCATGAGAATTGTAGGCGGTTGTTGCACCTGTGCTTGGAACAAACTGTTTTTGAGTGTCAGATGCTCACCTTGCAAGTCAGCAAAGTGTGTCCTCTCTGCATGAGTCTCTTTCCTCATATTAGAGAAAGTTCTAGTGGTTTTGTGTACATGAGGACAATTTGTGGAGTGGAGTAAAGCCCCATAGTTCCATGAGCAGATGGAATTGTGACCTTCAAAAAATGTAACCTGAATTTCAACCAGAAGTAAAGACAACGTTAGTATTTCAAAGGACATTAAAACTCCCGTTTCTAGACTGGTCTGTTAATGCTTCTTAGGAACAAGCTGGAAGTATACCTGGAAACACCTTCTTTAGCATATCCTAGGAAACACCTTCTTTAGCATATCCTACTTTTTTTACATTGCCTAACTGTTGTACGTTGAAAATCTTTGTTACTCTCCAAGCATCAGAAGGTTATTGTTAACGATGCCCTTTGGCCTTAGCATTCATAAATCAGAGGAGGTTTCTGAAAACCCATGTTGGAAGAGTACGTTGTAAATACCAGAAGTGAGCCATAAAGAATTTGGGTCTTTAACCTGTGGCCATTTTCTTCTGACTGGTTTTTAAATTGTCAGAACCCAGATAATCCACAGTGTGTTATATAGATTTTAGGTTAAGACTCATTACATTATTTTTACTCTGTTACTGCCATTTTTATTTACCATGTGTATGCAAGGTTAGTATTTCCCCATTCAGTCTATAAAAGGGCATTTATTATTAAAAAGTATACATTATTTCCCACTTTTAAATTCTGGTGCTTAGTAATTCACACATATATAGACCCAGAATGAATTATGGTAAACACAGTAGGAAATAACATAAAATTCCCTCTGGAATGAGCACTGCAACTCTCTTATGCATGTCTATCATGTTCTTAAACTGCCGCTGTCCTGCTCTTTGGGATTGATGCTCTCATGAGTTTTGGTGTATGTAATATAACTTTTGACCTTTAGAGGAATTGATTAACAGCACTGAGGTGTGTTTGATGTATTTTAAGCATGAGTTTGGTGGGTTTTATAAGGAGAAAAGCACTGTAATGGGAGAGAGAATTGCCTGGCAAGTAGAAGGCAGAGAAGAAAGGAGCAAAATGAGGATGAGTTGTTGCAAAGCACTGAATCATTGGTTAGGGAGGATATGATTGTGACTTCAGATTTCTTAGAATTGCCTCTGTAGAATGTTGGTTTACATTGTGTTTTCCTCTTAAGATCCCTGGTGAAGAGGCTGTTTAATAGTGAAAGAAAAACTAAAGTAGTGCTCACACAAAAGGGAAGGGTGTCTTAGAGGAAGAACGGCGCACCATGTATGTTGGAAGGACCCTGAGCTGGAAGGCAGTCATGGATTCTGGTCCTGACTCTGCCGCTCGCTTTAGTGGAGTATCTTAACCTTCTTGAGCTATAACATGGTCTGCCTCATGAGCCTGTATTTCTTTGCTTTGGGGTATGTCTAGTGACAGAAATGGTAAGGGCCCGCCTCATATGTGATGAAAGTTGAGAAACCTGAATCAGTGGACCCGCCTTTAAAGAAGTAGAGAAGCTTATTTTATGTTTTGGTTGACTGTATGAAGAGGAAAAGCTAGCTAGCTCTGCCTTTTTCAAAGAGAAGGCAATCTCGAGGGTGGGGTGGGTGCATTGAAGAGTACATTAAGATGAAAGGGGAAGATAAAAGGGAGCTGTTCATTTGATACAAAATCAAGTGTTTCTCTTTTATGTCCTTGTTCTTGCTGCATATTAAACTTCCTTGCATGTGATAATCTGCATGATTATTAAAATGTTTGCTGTTATCTATGACTTGAATACACATGGTGGTTTCTTGTGATTTGCTATAATCTATATACTAGCAACCAGTATTTTTATCCTTCTTTCTTAAGTTTGCAGTGTTAAATGAAAAATTGTATATTGGAAGCATGTAGGTAGCAAATGTTTTGCATACTCTGAAGTGTTGCATCTTTGTGTTTTAGAAGTCTGAACATAGGCTCTTGGGCTCTAGTCCAAAATAGTAGGGATGTAAAACTTTTGTTCTTTGTAGCAAAATAGCACAGGCTGGTCCATTCCCTCCAGCGTCTGTAATAATGTTAGTGGGTTTTCAGGTTTTCTAGCTATAAGGTAGGGTGTTAGAGGGGACATGGAGCACGTGATTGCTGTGAGAGCCTGTGGATCTGTGAAGCTTACTCGCACTCCACCCCAGGCTCTGCCCATTCCCTGTGCCCGGGCCTTCCTAAGCCGGGACCACCAGAAAGCAGAGGCTGGTGGCATGTGGGAAGGTTAGAGGATTGTCCAAGGAAGTCGGTAAGCGGGCAGAGTTTCGGTTGATAAAATTTTAGAAAATTGAAATTAGAACTCAGGCCTCTGAATTGCCAGTCTGGCACCTCCTTTTCTCTTTTTGTTTTTGGGGGAGTATTGGGGGAGAATGGGGACTGTAGGTTTAAAAAACAAAAAACCTAACATGAGTCTGTTACAGGATACCCAGAGGACTGGCCTGAGGAAAAATCAGTGTCCCCTTCTGATCTCTTAATCTCCTATTACCCCTTCAAAGTTTATCCCTACTGATACATTGTTGTTTTTCCTTCTTAGATGTACAGGTCTTAAAAGAATCTTTAACTGCATCAGCTCCGGTTTCTCACAGCACCTTGGGGTAAAGGACTTGAAAACCGAGGGCCAGAGGGCCTTTTTCCTTCTCTGAGCACAGACAGGAGTTCTTAGGCTTCCTCTTACTTTTGGTCCTATTATGAGGGAACTTTGTAGATAAATCTAGAAGGCTCTACTTCTGAGGTAGGACTCTCAGCCATTAGCTGAGTAACAGTATTTTGTTTTCTTCTCTTTTTTAATCCCTACCCGAGTTTCTTTGTGTTTGTTCGACATGTCCATCATAAGGGCTTCTTTTCGATCTCCACATCCTTGTTCTGAGAGTTCTCAGCTGACTCTGGCAACTGCATGGTGGGGCAGGGTTTGCCGGAAGCCTTGTCCTGAAAGGGGCTCAGCCAGCAGCAGAGCCACCCGGTGCAGGCAGTGCTCTCTTGTTTCTGTCTGTGCTGGAGGAGACTGCCGCCGCCGCCTCATGCAAAACACGAATTGCTGGAATGCTCCTTGCAGCTCCCAGAGCCACATTTTGATTGGGCTTGATACAGCGTAACAAGATCCTTTTTCAACGAGTGAGAGTATCTGCTATAATTTTTACCAGGTTCTCTTTAGAAGTTTTGGAAATTGGAAATTTTTGAGGTTAAGGGTTGAGTCAGGAAAAGTTGAGGGACAGAAGGAGGATTCTGACGACAGCTTGAGGATTTATCACCCTCTTCAGATGTTTTCCCTCCTATCTGCCTCCCTTCTCTGATCCCCCTCCGCTGTTGCACTGATCTTGTTTCAGTTTCAGATGACCAGATTGGCAGGGAGAGAACCATCCCAGCTTACTCATACCTTGAGCCCTACTTGGCAAACAGGACTCCTCAGCTTCTCTTTTGAAACACATTAAACCTAGCTGATTAGGCCACTGTGAGAGCTGTTCCTCCTCTTGCTGAGCAGAGAGCCTGACCAGCAGCTCCGTCTACTGTCGGACCTCCAGTCTTTTTCACATTGCTCCTTTGCTGACACAAAGGCCCAGGCACCTTGACATTTGGGATAGGCGACAAGTATAGTCCCACTAGTATCTTGATCTGCAGCTCTTTTTTGTCAACAGGACAGGATTAACTGTTCTGGTTCCCTTCAGCTTCTGTGTCACCACAAATCACAGCTAGCTCTAGCATCATAAAGTAGTACTTTGAGAGAGGAGATTGTAAGTTTGTTGCTGGAGAGATGACACATTTCTGTATTTCCTTGTTCTTCTAGATGTGGTGCCTCCTCTTCTTTGGTTGTCCTTGTGCTGTGACATGACTTGAGGGCATTGATTAGAGACTGAGGAAGGGAAGCCTAAATCACCCACTAAATCACTTGAGTGCTGTTGATTCAGATGACTATGCAGTTCTGTGCTTCTTTCTCCTGTAGAGCTCTCTAATCACTCTTGCTGGACACATTGCAGAACTGCAGGGGCAATGCCTTTTTGACTAAGGAAACTTCATCTTTTTTTAATTGCAGATCCCATTGCAGCTTATAGAAAGTGTTGAATGCCGAGATATATTTCAGCTTCATTTGACTTGCAAAGACTGCAAAGTTATCAGGTATGTGACGTGTTTATGCTGTTGTTTAGTGTGGAAAATACTTTTTAAAGGGTGGATTCATGATTTGATAACAGAAACTGCTTTTGAGGGTCAGCCTAGTTAGGGACATTTTCTGAGTAGTTAGTCCCTGAAATATTTTATCTTCAGGCTAGTTTGCTACTGGAAAGATACATTTTCTTTTTTATTTGGATATAACTGTAAATTTGCAAAATAAGTACAAACATAAAAATAGTAAAGAGCACTAGTACTGTTAACATTTTATCCCATTTGCGTTATTTTGTTTGTGTGTGAGAAATTCTTGTTCTGAACAATTAGAAAGTAAGTTATGAAATCATGGCTCTTTGCCCCAAAATTTTAAAGTGTGCTTTCTTAAGAATAGGGGTATTTTCTTACATAACCACAGTATCATTATCAACTTCACAGTTTTACACTTGTAATACTTTTACCCAGTCTGCTACACATGTTCTAATTCTGTCAGTTGACCAAATAATGCCTTTTATAGCATTGCCCCTACCTCATTCAGAACAAGATTCAGTCAAGGTCACATACTGTATTTAGTTGCCATGATTCTGTAGCTTTCTTTAATCTGGAATATTTTCCATCACCTTTCTGTATCTTTTTGATGTTAGCATTTTGAAGAAAACAATCTTTTATTATAATAGAATGTTTCTTTTGTGTCCAGTGTTTCCTCAGGAATAAATTGAAGTTGTACATTCTCAGCTGGAATACTGTACACATGAGGTGGTGTCCTCTTCAGGATATTGTATTACAGCTAGAGGCAAACAGTGCCCACCTGTTCCCTACCAGTGATGTTAGTTTTGATCCTTCTTTGAAGGAATCACCCACTTTCTGTGTAATTTCCGTATTTTCTCCATTGCAACTGATAGCAATCTAGGAGGCACTTTAAGACTCTACAGATGTCCTACTGCTCGTCAAGGTTCTTCAGTGTTGACTTTATCTGATCTAATCTTCATTATAATGGTTGAAAAAGGGATGACTGAAATGAATTTTAAATGTAGTAGCTCTCCCAGTTTTCACTCCCCAAGTTTTTGTTTTATTTTTATGACCTATTCTAGAGTGCCAGTAAACATTGTGTGTGGGCATATTGATAAGTCACACTAGTTGGGATAAGAGAGAGGTTTAAGTGACCTCCTTGTTTGTTTTTTTTCAAATTTTTGTTGGACTATAGTTGATTCCTCCTTGGTTTTAAGGTAAATATTTAAGTTGCTTTTTAGCCATTCAGATTTGGCTTGCTTTTGATAGATACTGGTTATAACTTACAGTTTAAAAAGCTTGTGTATTAATTACTCAGTTTTAAATACTGCATTTGAAAAGATTAAGTATTTTTTTACACTGTTTTAATTATTTTAATATCTTAGTTATATATATGCACTAAAAATTGCACTTGATAATAGAATTGTTTTGGTCTCTACACGTCACAGCTGAGAGTTTCAGGGTAATGTATCTTATTTTCAATCTAAAGGTGCTGATTTTTTCTAATTGCTAAGTAGATTAATTTTGAAATTATTCCCTAATTGGCTAAAAGTAGTACTGTGAACTGCTTCTGAGTTTAGCATGACGTGTCATAACAAAACAAAAAGAACTTTTCTAAACATATTTCTTGAGAGGGACAACCATAAAGCTTTAGTGGGAGAAGTGGAATGAAACCCCATTCCTGGAAGAGGGACTGCTATTTTACTTTAATAATTTCATTAATCAGTCTCAGAAGAGATTTTATTAGTCTTAAAACAAAGTTTTCCACATGTCTAGCTTTTTTCTTCTTGACATTTTCCATCATTGACTAAAATTTGTTGGATGTGTTTTTTCAAATTATAAATCATAAAATATTAGACCACCTCTATACTAATGCTTTTTGACCGTAATTATCATTCACTGTGAGTAGGCACTCTTGAAATGGTGGCTTCCCTTAGGTTTTATTGTCAGCTGTCTTCTGATTACGTTTGTACTTGTTTGGCTTTACAAAGGTGTCAGTTCTCAACCTTTGAGCAGTGTCAAGAGTGGCTTAAGAGACTGAACAATGCAATCCGACCGCCTGCTAAAATAGAAGATCTCTTCTCATTTGCATACCATGCTTGGTGCATGGAGGTCTACGCCAGTGAAAAAGAGCAACACGGAGACCTGTGCAGGCCAGGTAGGCCTTTCTAAATGTGCAAATGCTGGCTTTACTGAATTACTGCTTGAGACACCCTTAACATAAAATGAGACTCCTAAAATTGATGTATTTGTTAATCAGTGTACTTTTCATCAAGCACCAGCATGTGCTCATCATTCTTCTAAGCTCATTAGAAGATGTTTTCTAATTTTCATGGGGAAGAATTGACATCACAATTTACTGAGCCTGACTAAAAATACTGAGGGTATGGGTGTTATGGAAACCCCCTGGAAGGGAGCCATGAGTGTTGTATACATGTTTGTGAAGACTTCACATTAGGAGTGGCATTTGAGTAGGCTTTGAAGATTGGGAAACTGTTATTGATAATAGAATGGGGAAAAGAATTTTAGAGCAAGTAGCATTAATAAAGGTAGAGGTGTGAGGTTAGGCCACAGAATAATGGATTATAAAGTGACCTTTTGCTGTCTTTGAATTTTCAAGTCCTAGAGTACCTTTTGTAGGTAATCTAGGAGTCTGGGTTCCAGACTTCCTGACTCCTTATGAAATCTTTGTCTTCCTCACTATGTTTCTGTCTCAAAAATGGCTCTGACCAAGTTCATGTCGTTTCTCTGTGTGTAATTTTCTATAAATTGTGTGTTGCCATAAATAGAAGTTTGCTGATCTATCACTGAATCTTAAAAGATATGTTCAGCTTGAAAGCAATGACTTGAATTGCTAAGCTGTGAAACAATGTGAACTTCCTTCTAATACAGTATACTTTAGAGATTTTTTTCCTTTAAACCTCAATCCTGAACCTTCAGTCTTAACACTCCTGCTCTGGGTTATTTTAAACATGGGAGGCTAATCTAAACTTGTATCCTTTTGTTTCCTGGCTCATTTACTGGTTGAAGCTTTTGGTTCATATGTTTAATTAAATTATAGCAAACATAGGCATATTTTTAAAGGTGCTTTACTATATATACTTTTGACCCTCATGACCTTGTCAAATGGTCAGAGTAGTGTGGTGTTTCTGTTATGGTAGCCAAAGAAATGAAGACTCAGAGGCAAAGCCTATTGCAAAGTCCCACTCAGTGAAACTATGAGCCATGCCTTGTAGGGCCACCCAAGACGGATGGATTATGGTGGAGAGTTCTGACAAAATGTGGTCTACTGGAGGAGGGAATGGCAAATCACTTTAGTATTCTTGCCTTGAGAACCCCATGAACAGTATCAAAAGGTAAAAAGATGTGATACTGAAAGATGAACTCCCCGGGTTGGTAGGTGCCTAATATGCTACTGGAGAAGAGTGAAGATATAGTTCCAGAAAGAATGAAAAGGCTGAGCCAAAGTGAGAACAGCGCCCAGTTGTGGATGTGACTGGTGACGGAAGTAAAGTCTGATGCTATGAAGAACTGTATTACATAGGAACCTGAAATGTCAGGTCCATGAATCAAGATAAATTGGAATTGGTCAAACAGGAGATGGCAATAGTGAACATCGACATTTCAGGATTCAGTGAACTAAAATGGACTGGAATGGGTGAATTTAATTCAGATGACCATTTTATCTACTACTGTGGGCAAGAATCCCTTACAAGAAATGGAGCAATCCTCATAGTCAACAAAAAGAGTCTGAAATGCAGTAATTGGGTGCAATCTCAAAACGACAGAATGATCTCTGTCTGTTTGCAAGGCAAACCATTGAATATTGCAGTAATCCAAGTCTGTGCCCCAACCACTAATGTCAAAGAAGCTGAAGGTGAATGGTTCTATGAAGACCTACAAGACCTTCTACAGCTAACACCAAAAAGAGATGTTCTTTTCATCATAGGGGACTGAAATGCAAAAGTAGGAAGTCAAGAGCTACCTGGAGTAACAGGCTAGTTTGGCCTTGAAGTACAAAATGAAGCAGGTAAAAGGCTAACAGAGTTTTGCCAACAGAATGCACTGGTCATGGCAAACACCCTCTTCTAACAACACAAGAGACTATGCATGGACATCACCAGATGGTCAATACTGAAATCAGATTGATTTTATTCTTTGTAGCCAAAGATGGAGAAGCTCTATACAGTCAGCAGAAACAATACCAGGAGCTGACTGTGGCTCAGATCATGAACTCCTTATTGCAAAATTCAGACTTAAATTGAAGAAAGTAGAGAAAACCACTGGACCACTCAGGTATGACCTAAATCAGATTCCTTACAGTTATACAGTGGAAGTGACTAATAGATTCAGGGATTAGATGTGATAGACAGAATGCCTGAAGAACTATGGATGGAGGTTCCTAACATTGTATAGGAGGCCATGCAAAACCATCCTCAAGAAACAGAAATGCAAACAGGCAAAATGGTTGTCTGAGGAGGCCTTACAAATAGCTGAGAAGAGACAAGAAGCAAAAGGCAAAGAAGAAAAGGAAAGATGTTCATCTGAATGCAGAGTTCCAAAGAATAGCAAGGAGAAAGATAAGAAAGCCTTCTTAAGTGATCAGTGCAAAGAAATAGGGGAAAACAATAGAATGGGAAAGACTAGAGATCTCTTCAAGAAAATTAGAGATACCAAGGAAACATTTCATGCAAAGATGGGCACAATAAAGGACAGAAACAGTATGGACCTAACAGAAGCAAAGGATATTAAGAAGAGGTGGCAAGAATACACAGAAGAACTATACAAAAGAGATCTTCATGACCCAGATGATCACAATGGTGTGATCAAGCACTTAGAGCCAGACGTCCAGGCATGTGAGGTCAAGTGGGCCTTAGGAAGCATCACTACAAACAAAGCTAGTAGAGGTGATGGAATTCCAGCTGAGCTATTTCAAATCCTAAAAGATGATGCTGTGAAAGTGCTGCACTGAATATTCCAGCAAATTTGGAAAACTCAGCAGTGGCCACAGGACTGGAAAAGGTCAGTTTTCATTCCAATCCCAAAGAAAGGCAATGCCAAAGAATATTCAAACTACTGCACAATTGTACTCATCTCACATGCTAGCAAAGTAATGCTCAAAATTCTCCAAGCTAGACGTCAACAGTATGTGAACTGAGAATTTCCAGATGTTTAAGCTAGATTTAGAAAAGGCAGAGGAACCAGAGATCAAATTGCCAACATCCATTGGATCATAGAAAAGCAAGAGAATTCCGGGAAAACATCTTCATTGACTCCGATAAAGCCTTTGGCTATGTGGATCACAGCAAACTGGAAAATTCTGAAGGAGATGGGAATACCAGACCACCATACCTGCCTCCTGAGAAATCTGTATGCAGGTCAACAAGCAACAGTTAGAACCAGACATAGAACAACAAACTGGTTCAAAATTTGGAAAGGAGTACGTCAAGGCTGTATATTGTCACCCTGCTTGTCTAACTTAATGTGCAGAGTACATCGTGCGAAACACTGGCCTGGATGAAGCACAAGGTGGAATCAAGATTACCAGGAGAAATATCATAACCTTAGATATGCAGATGACACCACTCTTACGGCAGAAAGCGAAGAACTACTAGAGAGCCTCTTGATGCAAGTAAAAGAGGAGAGTGAAAAAGCTGGCTCAACATTCAAAAAACGAAGATCATGGCATCCAGTCCCATCACTTCATGGTAAATAGATGGGGAAACAATGACAGACTTTATTTTTGGGGGCTCCAAAATCACTGCAGATGGTGATTGCAGCCATGAAATTAAAAGATGCTTTTTCCTTGGAAGAAAAGCTATGACCAACCTCAACAGCATATTAAAAAGCAGAGACATTACTGACAAAGGTCCATATAGCCAAAGCTGTGGTCTTTCCAGTAGTTATGTATGGATGTGAGAGTTAGACCATGAGGAAAGCTGAGCACTGCAGAACTGATGCTTTTGAACTGTGGTGTAGGAGAAGAGACTTGAGTTCCTTTGGACTGCAAGGAGATCAAACCAGTCAGCCCTAAAGGAAATCAATCCTGCATACTCATTGGAAGGACTGAAGCTGAAGCTTCGATACTTCGGCCACCTGACGCAAAGAACTGACTCATTGGAGAGGACCCTGTTGCTGGAAAGATTGAAAAGGCTGTAGGAAAAGGGGATGACAGGGAATGAGATGGTTGGATGGCATCACTGACTCTCTGGACTTGAGTTTGAGTAAGCTCTGGGAGTTGGTGATGGACAGGGAGGCCTGGTGTGCTGCAGTCCATGGGGTCGCAAAGAGTCGGACATGACTGAGCAACTGAACTGAACTGCAGGGCGTTGACTGGGTCAAAACTTGAAAGCAGTTCTTAGTTATTGGGAACTGATTGTGTGATGTGCTGTGAGTATGAGGTGAAAAACAGGCACCTGCCCTTGCGGAGCCTCAGAAAGTCTTAGGAATCTGAGCTTCCCACAAGCCTGGCCAGCCAGTGGAACCCACAGTGGTTCCCACCGGTCACCGACAGCCAGCCTGGGAAGGTGATGAGAATGTGCCTAAGCTCTCTCTCACTTCACTCCTTTATCCGTTCCATCTTTCTTTTTCCTTCTTTATATGCCATTGGTTTTGTTTGTTTATGGGTCCTTTCAGGTGGTGGGTTTTTTTTTGTTTGTTTTTTTTTTAGTTTTTTAAAGTGATTTTACATGCAATCAAATTTGTGAATTTTACATGTATATTTGCTAAGTTTTTAGCCATTACATCATTTTTTTTAATTGTTTTTATTTGGCCACACCACACAACATATGGGATCTTAATTCCCTGTGAAAGTTGCTCAGTCATGTCTGACTCTTTGCGACCCCATGGACTATACAGTCCATGGACTGAATTCTTCAGGCCAGAGTACTGGAGTAGGTAGCCTTTCCCTTCTCCAGGGGATCTTCCCAACCCAGGAATTGAACCTAGGTCTCCCTCATTGCTCTGACCAGGGATCAGATCTGTGCTTCCTGCAGTAGAAGCACGGAATCTTAACTACTGGACAACCAGAGAAGTCCCCATTACAGCTTTTCCTTTTTTTTAATGCAGATTTCTCAGACTTTACTTTTTGGCTGTGGTGGGTTTTCACGATTGTGCATGGGCTTTCTCTCGTTGTGGCAAGCAGGGACTGCTGTTCAT